GGGGGGGGGGGGGGGGGGGGGTTGTTTGTGTGTGTCATTTGATAGTAGCCATGGTTACCGGAAATTTGATCGAAAGAAATTTCGTCGACGGTAATTTGATCGAACAGAAATTTGGTCGTATCTTTTTTTCAGTTCACGCGTTAAAATTTTCGTCAAATTTCTTTTTGAACGCACTATACTATTTAGTAAAACAAAATAATGCGTTCTAAAAGAAATTTGATGCAAAATTGTAACGTAAAAATTGAAAAGAGGATTCGAGCAAATTTCCGTTCGATCATATTACCGTCGACCAATTTACCGTCGACGAAATTTCTTTCGATCAAATTTCCGGGTACGAGTAGCCATATTGTAGTTTGAAGATTAAAATTTGAGAAAAAATTTCAAGTTTGATTTGATTGAAGTGGGCAAGAAAAGAACATATTTTAGGGGAATGCTCCACTGTGCATCTTGTTGTTGATTAAACATATTGAATAAGAATAAATTTGCAAATAGATGGGAAAAAGTTACTGATTAATTTTTTTTTCTTTTTATGTAACATTTTAATGTTTCCATGCATTGCATGGTTGGTTATTGGTATTGACTATGAGTAATACATGCACTGATTGGCCAACTTTAGCCATATGAATGGGAGGAATCTTGTGATTCAAAGATCAGCAGTTACCATTGTGGATGTTGCTGATAGTGAATGTCTTTAAGTTTTTCTTGCCCAACTGCCTCTGACGGGGTTGGAAGCAGACAACTAAGCAAACTTTCCACTGCTAAAGTTAAAGAAAAAGCTTATGCTGGATAGCAATAAGAATGAACAAATTTTGATGATAAATGCTTTATGAGAAAAAATTTAACAGATTTAAAAAAATGCACTTGCCTCTTTTATATCCTGATTTTTTTTTCCCTTTGTCTTGAAGTTTCTTTAGGCAGCCTTTAGCAGACCGGACATCCCAGAGCATTGCAAAATTATCAATGCTGTGTTAAAAATTGAATTTATTATGGGCTGTTAGCATCAAGCACAAGATTATCAATATTATTTCCTGCTAATTAAGGCATATGAATATTTTCCGGTATTAAAAAAAGTGTGTCAAAAGTAAATTGTTTAAGTTAATACCAAGTTGTTGTTTAATTATAAGTAAATTTATTTATCTTATAGGTAAAATGTACGCAGATCAGTATATTAAAATATGCATAATATTCCAAACATTATGGCATACATAAGTAAAAGATGGTCCAAATTGAGTAGAAATTATAAATTTACATCAATGTCACGTTTTGCACATTTCCTTAAAAAATGGCTATCAACCTGAGAATATCACTATTTAAGCAGGATCCAAACTTAAGTTAAAATTTTTACAGTTCATCAATTTATTTTCCATAACTAATGATTCACTAACCCGCCAGTAGCTAATAAAAACTCATCTTTGGGGGACCAGCACACAGCTCTTACACCTCCTTCCTTGTGACCCTTCAAGATACCTGTGAAGCAGCCAATCCGAGTATCAACCAGTCGCACAAAAGGGCTATCAGTGCCTGCTGCTATAAGGTTATGGGATGTCGATACACTTGACATATGGTGACTGTGAATAATGGTGCTAAAACTGTATTCTTCTACAACCTGCAAATAACAAGTTTAATTAAATTTAAGTTTTCACAAAATAGCATCACAACAACATACTTTAATTACTTAGATATTTCTGAGATTTACTGACATTACCGATTTGTTTGTAAAGACTAAATTGCCTTTGCAGTTACAGTCTGAGTCAGGTATGGACAACCTGTTTTCCAAGGCAGCGACAGCTGTGGTGAATACGAAGTAAAATTGGCCCCAATATATATAATAATAATAATAATAATATATATAAATAAAAATATATTAAAAATTGCACTTCAATGGGAATTTAATACAGAACTAAACTGTTTCATCATACCAGGTATTAAAAAAAATGCAACAGGAAATTTGATGCTTATTTTTTATCCAATTTAAGAAATCCAGGCACATCTCATCTTTGCCTCTAAATTCCTGTCAACAATGCCTCATCCCTCTCTTATCTGAATGAATCACATGGTAAACAATGTAGATTCGTACAGCCATGTTGATCCAAACATAGAAATAATGTTGATACTCCCATTTCAAAAGCTTTAGCGTTAAGGTCAAAAACAGTTCTCACATCACAGTGACTGAAGAAAACTGGATAAGAGGGACTGGGAAGCCGTGTTAAGTGAATAAATAGTGGAACAAGAGATGTTTAAGCTTGGAAAAATAGACAGGACAATTCTAAGAAGTTTGGGCTAAGTGTAGGGATCCACAAAAGCTGGGGAACCTTACCCTAAAATAAAGGCAGCTACCTAGAGAACTGTAAGGGGAAACACCACAGATGGTTGTGTGCAGGGCTAACAACCCAGCCATGTAAAAAAATAAATGTTACAAAATCTAAACCACAAACAAAATACTAATGGAAACTGACATATGCCTGGATATGGGTATGATTTTTTTTATTGCAACTTGGAATGTGCTAAGCCTGTTTAGAGCAAGAACCTTAGCCAACCTAATCATGGAAATAAACTAAAAAATAAAATGTGTATAGCTGCATTACAAGAAATGTGATGGAAAAATGCAGAGATCGTCAGAATTAAAAACTATACCATAATTTATAGTGGTGACAACGCCAACACTTTTGGAACAGGATTTGCAATGAAGAAAGAAGTAGTTAGTTTCATCATAAGTTTTAAGCCAGAACATGAAAGATTGTGCTCTTTGCATGTGCAAGGGAAAATGTTCAATATAACAATTATAAATGTTCATGCTCCCACATAGAAGGTCAGATAGAAAAGAAACATTTTATGAGATGCTGGAAAAGGTGTATGATGAGGCACCATGACATGACATTAAAATATTTTAAAATAAAGATTGGAGATTTAATTACAGAAAATAAAAATATAGACAAGATGAAGATTATGAACCACCGCATGGAGGACCAGACCCTTTAACTGGTTAACTACCATGAGCCGGTGGTAGCGGCTTGGCGTCTCTTTCATTATGGCCACGAGCCGCTGGTAGCGCCAATGTTTGTATCATAGTAAATCTAGTCAAATATTTATATTATTTTTCTCCCTGTTTTGCTTAGAGATTTTAGTTTACCGACAGGATGTTTATATTCGAACCGCATGATTTTGGCAGAATGTTTTAAAAAACTAGCTGTTAATTACTTTTGATTTAATTTCCGCAACTAGTTACAAAATTGTACTACTTGTACTACTTGTATACAGTGACAACAAGTGACGGGGTTACTAAAGGCATATAAGTGATCTGAAGCGTAAATATTATTCAATTTCTGTGTTCTTTGGTGCATTTTTCTTATTATT